CCGGCAGGTGCAGCGGCGGAGCCGTCAGGTGCAGCGGCGGGCCGGCAGGGCCGCGTCAGAGCCGGCGGCGGGGCCGCGTCAGTGGAGGCGGCGGGGCCGCGTCAAGCAGGCGGGGGGGGGGCGCGACGTAGCGGGCGGCAGGGCCGCGTCAGAGCCGGCGGCGGGGCCGCGTCAGTGGAGGCGGCGGGGCCGCGTCAAGCAGGCGGCGGGGCCGCGATCAGGAGGGGCAGCGGGGCCGCGAGGGAAATGGCGACCCGAGGGGTCGCTAAAAAAATGCGCGCCTCGGGGCGCGCTTCGGTGGGCCCTAAAAAAACGGTCCTTAGGAAGGACCCGCTCTATACCATGTGAAATAAGTGACCAGGAATGAAAATGACTAAGGAAAGATTGGGTACAAATACAACCCTAAAAACCCTGTACCCCATATGTGCTACCCCACTATAGCCTACAACAACTATGTCATATAAATCTGACAGCCTCTACATCGGAAAGGCGATGTTGAAAAACAACGTCTTCGTCCTCGATTTTGTCCCTGACTTGGGCACTGCCGACAGCGACGCCATCGTCAACTTCGCCGATTGGACGCATCCCCCGGATCTCGATCCGGACTTCAGCCCGGGAGGTTTCTGGTACTCACACACCATTCCTGAAGCAGAGCGAACCAGGCGTTAGCAACAATTCGACAATCGGCAGCAGCAGAGACAACATCGGCAGCAGCAGAGACAACATCGGCAGCAGCAGAAACAACATCGACAGTAGCAGAAACATCACCGGTAGCAGCAGGACCAACTACACCAGTCATCGTCGACGAAGCACCACCAACACCCGCAAAGCAGCTGAACCCGACTCAACGAGAAGTTCACAGAAGCGCCAACCTCGTCGCCAGCTTCTACTCCAACTCCGACACGTATCGACGTTCACCCGGACATCGCGCCTCCGAAGAAACCTGGCACACACGATTGGGACATCCAAGCAACACAGTTTTGAATAACACGATAAGAGCAGGAGTTCTTGACAAAGACTCCCTACTACTACCCGACGGCAGAGAACTCCAAAAGGCACGAGGGACTTGCCTTACATGCCCCGAAGCTGACTTACCTCATCGACCGTTCGCTCCACATCACAATCCGAGCGCACCAGCTTACGCACCACTCGAGAAGGTTTACAGCGACATCCTCTACAATCGCGAACCAGCACAAGTCACCTACAACTACACCATCACCTTCATCGACGCCGCCGCTCGATATGTCTGGCATCTTAACCTACCCAGTCGCGAAATGGCTCTCGCAGCGTTCGCCGCCTGGCTACCGGTAGCAGAGAGGGAATCGGGAGCAAAACTGAAAAGCTTCCAGTCAGACGGAGGAGGCGAATACACCTCTCAGCGCTTCAAGCAGTACCTGGCGGAAAGGGGAATCAAGCAACTCCTCTCCCTTCCCTACGCACATCAGCAGCAAGGTGTAGCAGAACGAATGAACAGGACTCTGCATAACAGCATGCGCAAACTGTTACGTGGCATGCGGCTACCCAACCACCAGTGGCCTGCAGCAATGGACCACGCTGTCATGCTGCACAACTTGCTGTCGTCGTCGTCACTCCCGAACAACGCATCACCGCATCTGCTGTGGACAGGAAAGCAGGGCAGCACAAAAATGTTACGAGTTTTCGGGTGCATGGTACAGTACCAACCCCCAGAAGCACGAGCGGGAAGATTTTCACAACGGGCACAGTGGGGACTACACCTCGGCATCGAGAAAAATTACAACGCATGGAAAATCTTCGGCGTCCACTCAAAGGAAACAGTAGCAGCACGTGATGTGATCTTCTACGAAAGACTCACCCTTCAGACGTACCTCGCCAACTTGCACGAGAATCAGGACCCCACAGGTGGCTTTCGTGGTGACCGAGCCTTTGCCTCAGCAGCGGACGAAGCAGACTGGGATGAACAGAACGTTGACAACGCATCGGAGGAAGCCGGACCTCTTCCGTTCTGCTCCGTCGACGTGCCCATGGACGAAGAAAATCCTCGCGAAAGTAACAACGCTGAAGTCTTCTACCACTTCGCCGACAATGGTTACGTAACACCTGCAACAGCCAACACCAACGAAGCAGAAAGGATAGGGCCAAATTTCATACCCGATCCAGAAGCGGGAGACGAAGCAGCCTATCCCGAGGACACAACTCTCCCCCGCTACTCACAGACCGGACTGCAAATCCTCGGCCTCGTCACCGCCGTCCATGGCTCCCCTCTTCCTAAAGAGCCTGCGACGGTTCAACAGGCTCTGGGGGGGGAACACAGAGAGAAATGGCGTGAAGCCATGGACGGAGAATTAAAAGCACTGGAGGAACGCAACACCTGGAAGGTCGTTCCCGCAAGCGTGGCAAGGAACAAGACCATTCTCACCGGGAAGTGGGTCTTCCGCATCAAAACGAAAGCGGATGGTACAATCGAGAAGTTCAAGGCACGATGGGTCGTGCGAGGATTCGACCAAGAGCAAGGGCGAGACTTCACCGAGACATTCGCCCCAGTTAGTCGACATACCTCACTCCGAATTCTTCTCGCCGTCGCCGCCATGAAGAAGAAGAAGCTGCGGCAAATTGATGTCGCCAACGCCTTCCTCTACGCACCTGTCGACGCCGACATCTTCGTCGAGCTCCCTCACGGTACCCACGGGGAACCCAATCAAGTCTGCCAACTGCTAAAATCCCTCTACGGAATCAAACAGGCCCCACGGCTGTGGCAACAGCACTTACACACCCGCCTCATCCGCATCGGATTCCGCCAACTGCCCCATGACCAGGGCATGTACGGACTCACTAAAGGCGCCAACTACATCCTACTCATCGTCTACGTCGACGATCTCCTCTACATCGGTTCCACCGACGACGTCACCACCTGGTTCGAAGGGGAGCTGCAGAAAGACCTCACGCTCACGGTTTCTTCTACCGTTACGCAGTACCTCGGGCTCAACATCCGCGAAGAAGAAAACGCAATCTATCTAAGCGCCGAGAAATACGCCGACACGATCGCCACACGCTTCTCGCTCACACCTACCGCTATCGCCACGCCATACCGCTACACGGCAGGAAACGGCCAAGGAAACTCCGCCCTACTCAAAGCTGCCGGAATACGCGACTATCAGCGAAAACTGGGCTGTCTACTCTTCGCAGCCGTCACCTGTCGCCCAGACCTGTCCTACTCCGCTAGCCAGCTTGCTACTTATCTCAAGAGGCCTGAAGTAGATCACTTGACAGAGCTCGATCGCGCACTGCACTATCTCGTGAGCACGTCGACGATCGGCCTGACTTACTACAAGAACGAAACTGCGTCAACGAAGCTAATCGGCTATGTCGATGCCGACCATGCCGGCGATCCAGATAACAGACGCTCTCGCACCGGCTACGTCTATCGTCTCAAGCCTATCGGACCTATCTCCTGGCAGTCGAACAAGCAGGAAATAATCGCTCTCTCTTCAGCTGAAGCAGAATATATCGCCCTCTGCTCAGCCACCAAGGAAGGACTCTACCTTCGCGAACTGCTGGAAGAAGCAAAGTTAGCTGAGTTACCCAGCTTCACCCTGCACTGCGACAACCAATCTGCAATTCGCATCGCCAACAAAAGCGGATTCGCGAACAGAACGAAGCATATCGCTCTGCGATACTTCTTCGTGAAAGACGAGATCGAGAAAGGAAGACTCGAGTTATCCTACTGTCCCACGTCCGAGATGGCAGCCGACTATTTGACCAAGAAGCTCGGAAAACAGAAGTTCGAGTACTGCATGCTGCTGACTGGACAAGGCCACGTCACCATCAGCGACACTCCAGAAGCGAAGGGGGGTGTTGGGAACAATAAGTCTTAAGCGCCTCTGTCGTGTCGAAACTCTGGACACAAAAGCGAAGCAGTCCGAATCGAAGCATCGCGAGTCAACCCTCGGAGGTTGGGGTAACCGCCTGGAGGTTACGCGAAGGTCAAAGGTCAGCGACCTTTGACTTGACCAATACAGCGCGACAGCAAGGACACACAACTGACTCAACATTGAGCAGTTGCCCGAGTCGCACTGTATCGAATCGCAACAGCAAGACAGTTATTATATCTGTTCGTATTCCTTGTACTCTTATATAAAACCTTGTATTTGCTTGTTTTAATCAACTTACTTTGCCCTCACACACTAGCGCAAGGTGGTTCAAGACTTTTATTCAAACGCTTCCGCTATTACAATCCTACCCAGACTTTAACTCTACAAAGATCCTTAGGGCTTCTCAGCCCAACATAATCAACTTACTTTGCCCTCACATACTAGCGCAAGGTGGTTCAAGGACTTTATTCAAAACGCTTCCGCTGCTACCGTACATCATTTACTCAGACTATTAACTCTACCAAAGATCCTAGAGCGTTCAGCCCAACACGAGTCACATTTCCCTGCGTATTGCCGTCCCTTGCTCCCTAAATGTGGCTATAAATTCGTTTTTGCAACTGTAGGCCGGCCTAACCTAATCATAACTAATAAATTTGGCCTTGTCTTTAGCGCGAATGTGTGTAACTGTAGTGCTCTGCCACCAATTTTCTTCAACGTTTAGCAATTCAATGCTGAACTGATCACACGTGTGAATCGATTCTGTGACATAAACGCATCGCTCCCAACCTTCCATGTGGCACAATCGCGGGTGCATCAAACGAATAAGTGGGTGTAGTGAATGTAAAGGATATCCTAGGCTGGCCTGCTGAAACTGGACAAGAGCTGTCAGCTGAAGAAGCTAGAGTTCCACGTAATAAAACAATCCTACGGTATGTACATGTGGGATCCAAAAACGCCTACTAGTGCATCGCACAAATGCAAATACCCTTCCATATTTATATTGCATATTGTTTGGTGTCATGCATCCGCCTCCACTCTAAACAGCCCATCCAGTTACCTACCCTCCCCTGATTCCGTCCCTTCCCACACGCCACTCTGCCTTGCCCTCCGCTCACCACTTACCCCCCATCACCATCCACCTCCTCCTCCTCAACTCTCCCATATCTCCTTGTACTTGCGCACAGCTACACTGTTGGCATGGGGGAAGACACGCACATTGGCATCCTCTTCATCTTCCTCTTCCTCCTCCTCGTCGTCTTCCTCGTCCTCCGCTTCCTCCACTTCATCTACCCCATCTCTATCTGTATTCGTCTGCCTCGCAACAGATAGACTGTTTGAATGTGGGAACACACGAACCCTTGCTTCTTCCGGTGTCCCCACGTCCTCCTCCTCGTCCTCCTCGTCCTCTTCTTCCTCCTCTTCCTTCTCTTCATCCCCTTCCTCCACCTCCTCTCTCCCTCTATCCCCCAGCCCATTCCGCTGCCTCGCAATAGCTAGGCTGTTTGAATGGGGAAACACGCGAACCTTTGGCGTGTCCTCTGCACCCTCTTCTTCCTCTTCTTCATTCTCCACCTCTTCCTCCTCCTCATCCTCCTCCCATATCTGCCTATACCTGTGCACAGCAACACTATTGGCATGTGGGAACACACGCACCTCCCCCTCTTCCTCCTTCTCCTCATACTTCTCCTCTGTCTCCTCCGCTTCCCCATCCTGGTCCTCCTCCTCCCAGATCTGTCTGTATCTGTGCACAGCAACACTATTGGCATGTGGGAACACACGCACCTCTGCTTCCTCTTCTGCCTCCTCGGCCCTTTCTTCTTCCGATTCCTCCTCCTCCTCTTTCTCCTCTGTCTCATCCTCTTCCTCCTTCACTTTCCCCTCCTCCTCCTCCCATATCTGCCTGAATTTGTGCACAGCAACGCTATTGGCATGCGGAAACACACGCACCTCTGCTTCTTCCTCTCCCAAGTCTTCCTCCTCTTTCTCCTCCACTTCCCCCTCTTCCTCCCCTTCCTCCCCCCATATCTGCCTGTACTTCTGCACAGCAACACTATTGGCATGTGGAAACACGCGCACCTCTCCTTCTTCCTCTGTCTCCTCAGCCCTATCTTCCCCTGATTCCTCCTCCTGTTTCTCCTCTTTCACCTCCTCTTTCTCTTCCTCTGACTCCTCTTCCCCTTCCCCCTCCCATATCTGCCTGAATTTGTGGACAGCAACGCTATTGGCGTGTGGAAACACACGCACCTCTCCCTCCTCTCTCTCCTCCCCCTCCTCATCATCTTCCTCCTCCCATTCTTCATCATCCCTTATCCGCTGACACTTCTGCACAGAAATGCTATCCGAATGGGGGAAAATCCGAACCACCACACTCCCCGTGTCATCCTCTTCTTCCTCCTCCTCCTCCTCCTCCTCCTCCTCCTCCTCTTCCTCCTCATCTTCCTCCTCCTCTTTCTCCTGCCTCCCCTGCGTCTCCCCCCCCGTCCTCCTCTTGCAAAGGGACACACTGTCCAGGTGAACTAGCCTTCTCACAACCACCTCCTCTTCCTCCTCGCCCTCCCCTTCCTCCTCCTCCTCCCTCTCCTCCTCCTCTCCCCTCTCTACCTCCTGCACTCCCCCATGCGCCCCTCTCTCTCCCCGCATCGTGCCATCCCCAGTGACACTCCCCCCACTGGTCCCCCCGCCCTGACTGTGCATCACATCCCTCCCCATACAACCTGCTCTGCTCCCCGCCCCTCCTTCTGGAGCTCTGTAACGTGCTCCTCCATCCCCCACACCTCTCCCCACACCTCTCCCTACACCTCTCCCCACACCTCCCCTCATACCTCTCCCCACACCTCCCCCCACACCTCCCCTTGCAAACCCCACCGAACCTCCCCCTGCACTTCCTTGCATACCTCCCCCCGCAATCCCCCCCACACCTCTCCCCCTTCCTGCAGCAAGCTTTCCATTCGCCCTTGCACCTACTGCTGAGTCACCACTGCGCACCATTGGTTGGCCATTAACATTCATATTACAAGGAGCACAGCTGGGGATTGCCATATTGCGGCTTGCATGACCGACAGGCGGTGGTACGGCGTCTGTTGTTTGCACATGCGTTCTGGGTGGCACAGGCCTTGCGCGTGTAGCATGCGCCATGCTGACAGGCATGTGTGCATGGGCACGTGCTTGAGATAGCGCGTTGGGAGTATCTGATTGTGCATTGCGCTGTGGAGTGCGCTGTGCATTGGAGGCAAGGGATTGTGTGTTGGTTTGTGCACGAGAGTGAGCTTGTATGTGAACAGTGCTGCGAGCAGCAGCGCGAGCACAAGTAGCAGCAGCAGGGGCAGCAGGGGCAGGCACGGAGAGGGCAGCAGCGGCAGCGGCGTGGAGGAGCGAGTCACGGTGCAGAGAGGATCCATGGGCGGGCACGAAGCGAGCCGTGGGGGCCGGCATGGGGGCGGGGAAGGTGGGTCCGCGGGTGAGGGAGCGGGGGGAGGGCTGTGGGGGCAGAGAGCGAGGGGAGGTTTGCGGGGCGAGAAAACGAGGGGAGGGGTGTGGGGGGAGCGAGCGGGGGGAGGAGAAGGATGAGGATGAGTTGGGTGAGTGTTGGGAGGGAGGGAACCGGGGGGAAGGAGCTGCGGGCAAGGAGGCTGGGGAATGCTGAGAGGCGGTGAGACGGGGCGAGGAGGAGGAGGAGGTTTCGTGCAGGGAAAGCGGTGTGAGGCGGAGGGGAGTGATAGACTGAACACGTAACTGTCGCTGCTGTAAGGGCAGAGACTCATAGAGCCGCTGTGCGTTGGTCAGGTGGTGTGGTGGTGGCTCGGCAAGGGACCGGAGCTGGACTGCTGGTGCGGCCCGAGCCTGCGTCTGAGGCTTGGTGTGGGATGGGATGTGGGAGGCAGCGGAGGAAGAGGAGGTTGGGTGGGAGAGATGGTGTGCTGGCCTGGGCTTGCTGCTGGGCGCACGGCTGGTGCTGCTGGGTGCAGTGGCGAGAGCACCAGCCGTGGCACCCCCCCACGAGTGCCATCTGGCTGGGGCCCGACTCAGTGCTCCTAACGTGCTCCCTGCTCCCCATGTGCTCACCCGTTCCCTCATGCTGCCAGCACCACCAACGCCACCACGCCCATGCTCGCATGCATGCTCGCAACGGTGCATGCTGGCGCTACTCCTGCTGCCCGCAGCACAGGCCGCAGCAGCAGCGCCAGCCGTACGAGTAGGCAGTGACACCACAGTGGGACCAGCAGCAGCAGAAGCCACACCAGCAGGAGCAGCAGCAGGAGGAGGAGGAGGAGCGGGACGAGGAGGAGAGATGCGGGTGAGAGGAGAGGCGGTGGGGAGGGGGAAGGTGTGCACGCGGCGGTGCAGAGACGCGCACTCGCTGCTGCCCCCGCGCCCACCAATGCAGATGCCTGCCGCCCCGCCAGCAGGTGCAGCGGTGGCAGCAGCAGCATTGAGGGGCAACGAGGCGGCCTTGCTGCCCCCGCACGTACCAGCGCCTGCCGGCACGCCAGTCGATGGAGTGGCAGCAGCAGCAGCGTTCAGAGGGAAAGAGGCGGACTTGCTGCTGCCACGGCCTGTGCTTGCCGCTCCTCCAGTAGGTGTAGCCATGGCAGAAGCAGCAGCATTGAGGGGGAATAAGGCGGACTTACTGCTCCCGCCACCACCAGAGCTTGCCGCCCCTCCAGTACTCGCAGCGCTGCCAGCAGCAGCATTGAGGGGGAACGAGGCGGACTTACTGCTGCCACGGCCTGTGCTTGCCGCTCCCTCCCCCTGCCAACGCTGCTCACGGCTTGATGCTAACGGGGCGGTGTGGGCGCAGCTAGTGTGTGGGCCCAGTGCTGCAGCAACAGAGATCGAAGCAGGAGTGGCAGCAGCATTGAGAGGGTGGGAGGCGGGACCTCTTGGCTGGCTGTGCTGCTGATTGTGTTGGAAGATGATAGCGGCACCCTCAAGGCTGTGAGGAGGGCACGAGGCTCTGTGCTGCAGGTTACGAGCCACAGCTGCACTCTGCTGAGCTGGCATACTGCTCTGCTGACCTGGCATACTGCGCTGCTGACCTGGCATACAGCGCTGCTGACCTGGAAGGCTGACACGCTGAGCTGGCACCAGCAATGGGTCCAATCTCTGAAGTGAGCAGCGCTGCTGAGAGGCGAGCTGAGGCCTGCCGTGGGGATCGAAGAGGGGTCTCTCCTGTTGCCGCCCGGAGGGATTCGATTGACTCATCCTCGTTACAGTCTGCTGCGTTACTGGCTCGTGTGCCTGTTCCAACCATTCCCCCACCTGCCCATCAGTTAGCCTTTCCCTCTGACTGCCGCCCATGCTGGCCATGCCGCCCATGCGACCCACGCCAGCCACACCACCTATGCCGCCCAGACCACCGCTCATTCCATTTCGCCGCACTGCTTGCTCCTTCCAGCTACCTCCCCCCATGCCCCTATACAAAAATACCCTCCCCCTCCCCATAACCGTTGCTGCCCCCCCCCACGATCCCCATGCCCACGGTTTCTCCCATTTCACCCCCATTGTCTCGCACCACACGACTCGTGCCGCCCATACCACCCAGGCCAGCTACAGTAGCCGCCCTGCGGTGCACACCGGCAGCATCCCCTCCCCACCTGTTCAGCCAATCCGCATCCCCCATGCTCCCTCTGCGCCACGCCATGGCCCCCCCTTCCCCGCCCACCTCCCTCCCCAGCCCCACCTCCCCCAATCCCATGCCCGCTGGCCCCAACTGCCGCTCCTTCCAGCTACCTCCCCCCACTGCCCTCTCAACAACCCCCCTTCCCCTTCCGCTTCCCCTTCCCATCCCTACCCCCGTACCACTTCCCCTTCCTTCCCCCCTTCCTCTCCCCCTCCCTCCCTCACTTCCGCTCCCCCTTCCCCTCCCCATCCCCTCCGCGCCCATGCTCCGCCTGTGCGCCTCCTCCCTTCCATCTCCGCAATCCTGCGCCAAGTTTGCTTCACCCAGAACCAGTGCCTGCTTGACACGTGTACCGACGGGTCCCATAACCCTCGGCGCGCTTAGCCCGTTCCGCCTCTCCTGGAAACTCCCTGTCCCGCTCACGTATCCCCCACTTCCGCTCAAACCTCTCCGCCAATCCCCTTCCCCAGCGCTGCTTCCGTTCCCCGCGCGTTCCCCACTCGCAGCTCCATTCCGCGCACCCTCTCCCCTGCCTATCCCAGGCGCACCAGGCGCAGTCCAAATAGCCTCCCCAGCTGCACCGGGACCTATCCTACGTGCGGGGAACCCCCGCCCCACGGCCTGCCTAGCGGCTGCTTCCCTGCATCCTGCGCCGATGGGCGCAACAGCTTCCGCGTAAACCCGCGCTTCCTCCGCCGCCCTTTCCGTCACTCCTCCGCTCTGAGCTCTCCGCACATAAGTGCGCGTTTCCGCGCCAGAGTCAGTCGCTCTTGATGCCTCTCGGCGATTCCCGGCTTCCGGGAGGGCGTCCAGCTTAGTCACGCTCCCGAACGCGTGGCGCAACGCGCCTGCGGACGCCACGTCAGCGCTGCCCCCGCCGCGTGCAGGCGCTGCTGCTCGACCAATAGCAGCAGGCCAGCTCGGCGGCATCTGTCTCCGGGAATTGGGGGATATCAAAAATTGAGCGGGATTCGCGGGCTGGAAGGTCGACGGCGGCATCCCCAGTCGCAGGTTAGGAGCTTCTGATATCTCAGCGATCAACTGAGGATACGAAGGAGCCGTCGCAGCGCTACTGGAAGGAACGCAGAACGTTTGCGGCGAGGCATGCAACAACCTGTTGAAGCTAGCGGCACTGAGCGGCTCGATGCTTTCGTCTGACGTGTTGTCCCACGAATGCCGGCTCACAGTTAACCGGCGAGACGCCTGCTGATGACGCTCGGCCGGCAGCGTCGAGGCGCTGTTAAAAACACGCGGGTTGCGGCGCGATGCGCGACGTAACTCCGACTGGTCGAGGCCATCGCTCGTAGACCGAGAATGAACGGCTGGATACGCGTCGCTCGGGTCGCGGAATTCCCGAGGCGCAGCGGAAGGGCCCGAGGGTGAGGGCGCGCTAGCGGGGGATTCCAGCGAGCCTGACCCGGGGCGCAGGCGGAGGGGGGAGTCGGGGGACGGCGGCTTCGGTCTAAGCTGCGCAGGGGGCGGACCGTCGGACACGGGGCTTGCAAAGTATGGGAGAGAAACGCGAGACGCCGCGGCTGCGGAACCGGCGAGGATTTTCTGCGGAATTGCGCCAGGTTTGCTGGAATAGCCGTGACGAGGTGGATCTCGAGCGGATGAAGTGGAACAATCCCGCGACGGATGGGTGACGTTGCTACGACAATTTGGCGTTGCTGCGACTGAACACGACCACTGAAACTCGCACGGTTTTTTTATCCACGAGCTCTCGTCCATCCTGTTCTAACATGGTAGGTGGCTCAGCAAAACAGCTAATATGTGAACCTTTACCTCCGGAATGGGAAGTCCGATTGTGCTTCAAATTCCTGCGCTTTGGTTTGCAAATGCCATCAAGCTCGTGCTGCTTGGCTTGATGGCTCGACAATCCCACGGCGGGAAAGAAAAGTACTGTACGTATCCTGGCTTGCTCCTGCTCCTGCTGCTGCTGCTATGTCATGGTTTTCCTCGAAGTGAACAGTGAAACAAAACTGATGCTGCTGCTGCTGTTACGAAAACTCCCGTTGTGTCGGGAAAGTGGGATGAAGGGGGCAACACAGCACTCAATTCAAAGCCCACGAAAAAAATCCGTCGGCCACTGGATGCGCATGGATTACACGAGAGATTCGATCTGGGCTAGGGGCAGCTCGTGCATGCTCGTAGGTGAGAAAATCGTTCATCCACACCTACAAGCTATTCCCGGGGAAAAAATAGCTTCAATTCTCACGATCCGTCTGAAACTCTGCAGAGGGTAGTCACAATTGCAACACCGGATGAGGTTCGGGACCGCACACCAGAATCGTCAGCATCGATCGCCACAACCAGGTTTCAACCTGCGTGGTCACGATCGCCCTGGCGGTTCCAATTGTGGAAGAGTTCTAAACGTTTCGGAAATTGTTAAATGCTTAAAACGGGATTTCAGTGCGGTGTAGGCTCAATATTGGACAATCTTTTTGTGACAAAAGTTCACGCATAAGCTAACGAAGCCAGGTTACTCTACCCTTCGCATAGTCGTGAAGCTACTGTAGACTCAAAAATCTATCCATTGCAGGATCGATGTTTCAATTGTGACGCGGGCTGCGGCATTTTTTTGGACAGTGCATAATGAGTTTTGAAATAATGAATGACCTACGGTTTCATTCTGACCGAGATACAGTACATGTTGCCTTCTTGCCTCGCCTGGTCGGCCCCCATCTCCAGGCAAGAGGTTCTAGTCAGGTGTGCTGGGTTCGGCGACCGCCTTGCGTTGTCTGCCACGCTTCCTGACGCAACGCACCCGTGGTTCCTACGGTGGGGGCTTTCATTGCCACAACAGTACAGTTTTTTGAAAGACCCGTAACAGAGTGAAGCTGCAATGATGTAAAGACACTCATATTCGGTAGATTATAAGCAATCCATGTACGGTACTTCACAACCTAGTGTGCTCTCCAATCGTTCACTCAAATTGCCTTTGTATCAACCCTCCATATCTCCTTTTCATCTTCACCAGCCACATCACAACTCCTATCCTCCTTTATGCTTTTGTTAACCACGCCATCTTCAACAGCACCATCACTTAGACACCTTCCGTGGAAGAACCTTTTTTCCCGATTGCTTGACAATGCAAATGGCATCGCGCCTCTGTTTCAGAACCTTAGCTCGTGCCTCTTCCCTTGTTCTTACCTCTTTTTCTGCTCGCTCTTCTTCCTCATCGTCATCGCTCAGTGATCTCTGCAGTTTGCTTTTGGGCTTGCTCTTGGGAGCTTCCCTGCTTTCACATCCCATAACCCCCCCAGAAGCAGCATCTTCACACGGTGTGTGGCCCTCATTTCTTCCCGCTGGCCTGGACTGTTGCTTGCTGTCCTCCGACAAATCACAGACTGCCTCTCGGGATTGGTACAGGTCCAGCCCACCCTGCATTTTCTTCAGTGTTGGGCCATGCCTCTCATTCCCTCTCCGCTCCATACCAGCCTCCTCCACATTCCTCTGCCTCTCTCTCACTGCCTCCACGTCCTCCCCTTCACCCTCCAAGGAGTCCTTATCCACCCACCCTGCATTCTCTCCCACCTCCCCTGCTCTCTGCACGTCCACGCACGCACCGCCATGCGAACCCCTGCATGTGTGTCGCATGCTGCGCTCGTCACATGAGCGCCGGGGGAGGCGGCAGTCAGGGAGCGACTGCGACGGCGCAGGGCGGCGGTCTAGAGTGTGCACGCGGCGCGCAGCTGTATTCTCCTCAATTGGATCTTCCGCGAGAGAGTGAGAGCGCCACCGAGACAGGGGACGGCGAGTTTCATCGCCGTTAGCGTCACGGCAGTCCTCTTCCTCCTCCGAGTCTGACTGGAACGCTGCATGCTGGCGGCTGGAGAAACCCCTCTGTGACCGAGGGGAAGGTGAACTTTGCAGCATTGGGTCGCCATCGTCGTAGATCGGCTCGCTGTCGTCCCACGAGTCGAAGGGACTGAGCTGCTGGCTGCGCCTGACTCGGCCGTCGCCGCTTCTCCTCTGCCCTCTAGCACGCTGCCCAGGCGAATCGCAGCCCACAGAGCTTGATGCTGGTAGCTGACGTGGTGATTGCTGATAGGCAGCAGGCGATGTCACCGGGTTGTGCCGAGGCGAGGGGATGGAGCAGGGGAAGCGGGGGGAGGCGGCGGAAGGGGATGTGGGGGACGAGGAGGGGTCGAACGGGGAGCAGGCTTGCGCCGCAGCTCTCCGTCGTCCCCTTTCCACTCTTTCCGCCCTTTCTCCCCTTCCCACGGTTGAGCACGCTGGGAAGTCATCGTAGCTCCCACCCGACACAGCGGGGCCGCGCCCGTCGCAACGCTGACGGCTGTGATCAACGGGCGACGCGTGGTGATTGCGCGTCACGAACGGCTTGCCCACGTCATCATCATCATCTGGCGCGCGCCGGATCTGACCGCTCAGCGTCCTCGCCGGCCCTCTCGCCCCCAGGTCGCTTGAGAGCTGCCTCTGCGGCGCGTGGAGCACGGGGCGCGTGTCAACAGCGGCGAAGTCAGGGTCGGATCGGCTCTTCGGTGCGCCGTGAACCGCGGCGGTTCCGCCGGACGAGCGCGGCGAAGGGTGAGGACCGTAAGGCTCGGCGCGCTGTCCGCCAGGGCCTTCCGCCGCAGCGCAGTGAAGCTGCTTTCGCGGCGATTCTCGTGGCGAAAAATGGTGCGATGCGCGAGCGCCGACCGGCGACTCGACAGTGTGCGCCATTCGAGTCGGAATCGGGACGCGATCGAGCGAATCGCCATGCCACGTGTCGTAATGCTGCGGTCGGCGGGATCGAGGGACATTCGACGTGGCCGCGCTGCCCAACGAGCTGGATTTTAGGCCGGGGCGCGAGCGCGGTGGTGCTCGTGCGGCGGCGGAAGGGGTAGTAGCACCCGCGTTGTGCGGCGTTGAATCGGCGGCTCGTTGATGATGGTGGTTCTCGACTTGACGAATCGCCTTCGTCGAATGGCCGGCGCTCACGCCGCTGCTGCTGCTGCTACTCCGGCGAACACTCGACGGCTGCGGCGATTCGAGCGCCGAGGCGCTCACCAAAGGAACCGGCGTGCTGACGTGTCGCCCATGATTGGGGCCCAAGGTGTCGACGCGACTCGCATGACCGCGCGATTGGAAGCCATTAGGAGAACCCGTCGAAGCGCTACCGCTTGACCGGCAGGAAGCCGGTGAACGCGGCGAGTCCGAGGAGGACGTACCGAACGATGAGCTGGAAACACGTCGCACATGATGATTCGGCGTCGGTACTTTGCAGCATTCGTACCCCTCGGAGAGTTGCAAGGACAGTCGTGGCGCCCCGCGCCGGTGGCTCAGGAGTTGCTGACGTGACGACACTTGTGCGGCTACCGGGACCCGTCTTGACGGCCCGGTAGTAATGGCCCGAGGATTAAGATCCGAATCGTCCGCGTCGTTATCGAGCAGCTGCATCACCCTCGCCGCCTTCTCCGCGAGTCGCTTTCTCGCGGCGTGGTCGGTAAGGACTAATGTCGGAGCCATGGCGACAGGTAATTTTGTGCAACCCGATAGGAAGGTTAAAGATTGCTGCTGTCAATGAAGCGAGAAGCGAAAGTGCTGCAATTGAGGATTTGCTGCTTCTGCACAGCCTTTCTGTACAACATGCTTCTTGGTTTGGCTCTGCTGTGATTTCCCGTCCCAATCAGCATTCTGTGGCTTGAGAGCGGCGGTGGTGGTTCTAGTCTGGTCCGGGGAATTACGGCGACGGGACGGCATTGGTGTGAGCGACGAGCCGCGGTGAGCAGATTTTAAACTCCGCCGAGGAACTGGTGCCGCTGCTCCCTGTTTTCAGGCAGATGGTCCCACGTGCTTAGAGGTTACGGACGAGTGGAGGATGAATGGGATGCACGACACGAGGGTCGATGGGAAAGAAAGACAAGTTATGCCATGGAATCAGGGCAGCAATTGTCTTGTCGTTAGCACGCTCGCGAAAATGCTGGTGTCAGATTTTGTCCTTATGGTTGATGTGGCTTTGGCAGCAACATTGCGCCTTGCCTTCCACCAAGCATATCTCGGAAATCAGGATTTCGCGAGGAAACGTAAATGCTCGGCAAACTCTTGATAGGGTATTCTGTACACTGTTTTTTGGGTTGCGTAGCAACCCTTTATATTTGGTTTGACATTTTGGGGATATAACTCTAAGAGTGAAATTTACCACTTTTTGGAGCACCCGTTTGCATGTTTTGAATCTGTGTTCAAACGGATACCTCAAATAGTGGATACAAACACTCTTGAATGAGATCTCCATATGTAGAACCAAATACCGGAACGACGTATCATGTGGAAACCATGAACTTGATCGACCGTCCCAACCTCATCGATAAATACGGCGGATCGTACGGCCAAGCATAGTATTCTGGCATCAACACAATTGTACAAATGAGCAACAAGGTATGAGGTGGAGTAGATGCTTCAAAGTGAATGTTAAAATGCATCATGCAGCAACAGAGGTTGATGGGGTCGTTGAAACAGCGAAAACTCGCTGCCCCAAAGACGATTAATAACCTCTAATTGCATACAGGACACACAGTAACACCACACTTTGAAACACACATCCCACAAACACAAATGCAAACGTACGTAAAAAAATGTAAAGAATGAAAGTGTTGGTTAATTAATGTGGGTTGGGGTACATATAACAAACCCTAACATCTGTACCCCCTAAGACAAACCTCACTACAGGCTACAACATTTAACACATCCCCATAGCCTAAGTGAGGGGTGTCAAGCAGAACCTAAAGTGTACGATCACAAGACCAGTCACAAAGAAACAAAGCTCAGGGTGGATCGCAACGTCACCACACACTCTGAGCACAAGCAACAGGGGCTACAAGGCCAGTTCGAGAGTTCACAAGTGTGTATAGCAAGAGTACAAGCAAAGCAAACAGTAGACTCAAGCCTATACATGACTAGAAACGGTGTCAACAAGGCCTAACTGCACACAACATCTCTGGTGGTCACAAGACTGAAACGCCTTGGTGAAGATGTCTGCAGTGTTGGCCTCGGACTCCACAAACTCGAAGCGAGCCTGTCCACGTCTCTGCAACTCTCGCAGAAGAAAGTACCTAACGTTAATGTGCTTCACTCTGCTCTCCTGTCGCGGCTCTCGACAAAGGAGAATCGACGCCTTGTTGTCAGTGAACAAGGTCGGTGCAGAGCTCGGCCGCTCACCAAGGTCGGCGAGCAAGAAGGTCAACCAACGCAGCTTCTGTGCCGCCATGGCACCAGCGTGGATCTCAGCCTCAGCTGTAGAGGTCGAGACTGAAGAGGAGCGTTTGGACTGCCACGAAACAGCTCCAGAACCCAAGCTGAAACAATACCGCTGAGTAGACCTATGAGTCTCAGCGTCGTCAGCATAAGAAGAGTCACAGTGACCAGTAAGTACGACAGGCTGCTGCCGTCCAAGAACTAGCCCCACGCCTGATGTCGTCGCTAGGTACTTTGCCACCCTCACAGCTGCCGTCCAGTGAACAGGACGGTGTCTCCCTGGCGCAACAAAGCGAGTAAGGATGCTGAGAGGGAAGGCGAGGTCCGGGCGAGTGCAAGTCATCAGGTACATGAGGCAGCCCACCAGCTTTGCGTAGGGACCACTAGACTCAAACGGCTCGTCAGGAAAGGGTCCAGTAAGTCTGTGCTCAACAACAAGAGGTGTGCGCTGTACTGTGGACTGCCGATGCTCGAACCGCTGAAGGACCTGCTGCACCATGTGTGACTGTGAGAGTGTAATGGTGCGAGCAGCTCTGTCCCTGGTGATCTGCAGGCCAAGGTAGTGGAGCAGCTCACCAAGGTCAGTGCACGTGTGTCTCTTCTGTAGTTCGGACTTCACGTCTGCCAAGGCAACCCAGTCAGCAGTGGCGAAAACCAGGTCGTCGACGTAGACCAGAACAAAGAACGGTGTGGAGCCACAACGAACGAACAGCGACGGGTCGGCAGAAGACGGCTGGAACCCAAGGTCAGAGAGGGTAGAACGAAGAGTGTCGTGCCACACACGAGGAGCCTGACGAAGACCGAAGACAGGTCGCCTCAGCCTCCACTGGGTCCCAGGATGGAAAGTGCCAGTGAAGGCAGAGGGACGACGCAGCTAGACCTCCTCGTGTAAGCTACCCTGAAGGAAAGTGGTTGAGAAGTCGAGAGAGTGTAACCCGTAGTCTCTCTGTGCTGCTACGTGCAGTAACACCCGAAGAGTGGTCATCTTCGGGGTAGGCGCGAAGGTCTGAAAGAAGTCAACTCCCTCGCGCTGACTGAAACCTCTAGCCACGTAGCGCGCCTTGAAGACCGGAGGAGATCCCGGTGGCCGCTTCACCCTGTAGATCCACATGCCATCGACTACGTTCGCCCCAGGGGGGGGAACCTCGTCGACGTAGGTGCCTGTGGATCTGTAGGAGGCCATCTCTGCATCCACGGCAGCTCTCCACTGAGAGGCCCAAGGCCCTGACACTGCCCTAGCGTAAGTGCGAGGAGTCGGTATATCAAGGGCGTCGGGGTCTCCCTCAGGGGCGAGCAGCATGGCACAGAGATGTGGGGAAGCGGCTGCCAGGAACTCTAGCTCAAACTGCCTGTCCTTTAGGACGTCACAGCCAAGGGCAGACTCACCCTCGACGGCCAGAGGACTGGTAGGAGGAGCAGCCACAAGACCTGTGGCGTAGTCAAGGCGGCGAGTGGAGGCAAACTCAGTGACTGCGGCAGTAAGGGCGGAGACAGAGGAGACGGACGCACGAGGGTCGGTAACAAGAGAGGCGAAAACACGAGAGAGAACAGGATGATACTTGCGCTAGTAGTCAGTGACAGGAGTAGAGAGAGAAGCAGTGATGGACGACTCAGGAGGAGACAGAAGGAGAGACGGAGATGAACGAGGCAGACTAGAACGAAAGAGGGCAGTACGAAGGTCAGTAACGAGAACAGGAGACGAGGGACGAGCACGAGGGGAGCGACGAGAGGCCCAAGTCTGAGGAGGAGGGGACAACGGAGGTTGAGAACGAGGGAAAACAACCAAGGAGGGGTCGGGAGGAGGAAGCGGAGGACCCGAGACGGGAGGAGAGGGGGAGGAGGAAGGAGAGCGGGAGGGGAGACCGAGGGCCCAAAGACCGGAGACAGGAGGAGGAGGCGGCGGCTGCTGCTGCTGCTGCTGCTCCTCCTGCTGCTGTAGCGGCTCCAGCTGCTGCGCCTCCTGCTGCTGCGGCGGCTTCAGCTGCAGCTGCTGCAGCTGCTCCTGTTGCTTCTTATGTTGCTCCTCCAGCCGCTGCAACTCTCTCTCCTCTCTCTCCAACTCCAGCTGCTCCTCACGGGCACGGCGAACACGAGCCTAGTGCCGGGTCGGGTAGGGGTGGGGGGGAGGAGTAGTGTCGGGGGCTGCGGCAGCCCCGGGACCGCCCTCCAAAGCATCTGGCGCACCACCCCCAGAGTCAGCTGTCAGTAGATCTGCACTGTGGATGCCCGATTGATCCTGGAGAGGGTTACAGGCGCGTTCGCTTTGGGGGTTATGGGCGCACTGACCCGCTACTGAAACAAGCCCTTTTATCCCAATGGTCTAGTGGTTGGGATTCTGACATGGTATCAGAGCGGTCTCGGGTTCGATTCCCGGTGTATGCACATGTAGGCCGTTGCCGCTGTGCTTAGTCCTGGGCCTCCCAGTGTGGGGGGGTGTCAGTAGATCTGCACTGTGGATGCCCGATTGATCCTGGAGAGGGTTACAGGCGCGTTCGCTTTGGGGGTTATGGGCGCACTGACCCGCTACTGAAACAAGCCCTTTTATCCCAATGGTCTAGTGGTTGGGATTCTGACATCAGCACCACCAACAGCAACACGACAAGGCTCACCAGGACCCAAAGAGGGTGCACCCGCACCCCCAGACGTAGCACCCCTAAAGACAGCATGACCAACACCAGCTCCCGGAAGACAAGAGTCTCCTGCAACCACAGGCTCAGCTCCAACTCCAGCACCCCTAGAGCTAGCACCTGTAGGGCCCTCTCCACAAGCATCGGCTCCCGCAGGGTCTGCAGCAGGCTGCGAGGAGGACTGCGGGGAAGGAGGCTGCACCCGAGGGGCTATCGAGGGGGGAGGGGTAGCCTGGGACACACCTGACAAGCCGGGACCAGGGGGGGGAGGCTGTACCGGGGGAGCAGGAGGGGGAGCGGAAGTCAGGGAGAGAGGGGGAGGAGGAACCGGGAGACCTCGACTGGGGTACCTGACGTTGTAGGGGGTGGACTCCTCGAAACGGACGTCACGGGAGTCAAAGAACCGGTGAGAGGGAGGGTGGTAAAAGGTGAAGTCAGAGGAAACCTCAGGGAAACCAAGGAAGACACAGGGAACGGCGCAAAGCGAGAGCTTGTCCGCGGAAGTGTCGCGGACAAAAGCCAAGCAGCCCTAAGCACGAAACCTCGACGCAACACCAGGGGACCCGGTCCAAAGACTGGTCGGTGAAGCCTCTGGCCGAGAGACGCGTGGCCAGAAGTTCAGCTGGTGAGCGGCGTACCTAACCGCATAGGGCCACAGAAAATGGGGGGCACGGGCGTGAGTCAAGGAGGTGCGGGCGATCTTCATGACCAAGCCTATGCGGCGCTCAGCAACCCCATTCTGCTGTGGGGACTCTAGAAGCGTCCAGGACTGACAAATGCCCTGCTCGCGACAGAATCCAGCGAGAATGCCGGAGCAAAAATCACCCCCACGATCAGAGTGAAGACAGCTGACACGACGACCACGAGTGCCCTCCGTGGTAAGCAACCACCTGATCAGCGTAGAAGTCACCTTAGACTTCTTCGCTAGGGGGAACAATGTGGTGTAGCGGGAGTAGATGTCAACGACCACCAGAAAGAAACGCTCGCGCTCAGGGCCAAGGCGAGGGGCGGGGCCCTAGACGTCCAAGTGGAGTGTCTCATAAGGCTCGGTGGCCGGACGAAGGGAGGAGGAGTGAGGGGTGGCGCGCAGCCGACCCTCGACGCAGGGACCACACGGCGGTGCAAGCGAAGGCGGCAGCGACGGCAAGACATGCGGGAGGCCTAAGACAAGACGCTGACGAGACATAGCGCGCAGACGAGGGAGGGACGGGTGCCCCGTTCGGTGGTGCCACAGAACGGTGGGGTGTGCAAGCGAACGGCAGGAGCACGACGTAGTAACTGGACCAGACACGGGAACCTGACCAGACACAGCTACCTGGGGGGACGCAGCAACCTGGTGAGATGCAGGGACCAGACTGGGGGAAGTAACCGGGGCAAGTAACCAGGGCCGGGGGCAGGAGTCGCTGCTCCTGCTGCTGCCGCTGCTGCTACTACTGCTTCCCACCAGGGCCAGTGTGAAGTGTGTAGAGACCAGAGCCCCGCTCGGTAGTAAAGGTGGCAAGAGGCGAGTAAGTGTCGCCGTCAACACAAACCGCCGTCTCACCAGAGGGCTCAATCCACACACCCACGTGCTGACTCACAAGAGGCCTCACACCCACCAAGTTTCTCGAGAACGAGGGGACGTGGAAGCCAGTCAGAGACCCAGAGGGAACAGCAGAGCAAGGAAGAGTAGTAGTGTAGCGAGCAGTGACTGGTCCCGTGGTGGGATCAGCCAGGGCCACAGAGAGTGGCGCAGGAAGTGGAGTAAGTGTCGTGTGGTCGCGGAAGAAGCAGTGTGAAGCCCCAGAGTCCAGAGTGAAAGACAGCGAAGCGTCCTCCGAAGTAGCGCCTGGACTAGTGTCTACACAAGTGCCTACACTAGCAACATGCAACTCAGCAAGACTAGCACCTAAGCTAACAACACACGAGTAAACAGAGTTAGAAGCACTAGAATCAACAACATACATAGCATGAGGAGTTCTTAAGAGATCAAGCAACTGAGAAGCAGACATGCCCCAAAGAGCGGAGCCGTACGTCTGAACAAGAGGTAACCATTGAGGGGCAGGGCTGCCAACGCCGAAGGCCAAGCAAACAGTGTCAGTGAGCTGAGCAAAGCACTGACCAGGAGGGTGGGTGCGACCACAAGGCTGGCCTCGCCGAGCACCTGTCAGAACCTGATAGGTGCACGAAGGGTGAACAACACCTCGCTAGGGCGGACGCTGTCCCAGCCTCGAAACCTGCTGTTGCGGCTGCTGCTGCGGGGGCTGCTGCGGGGGCTGCTGCAAAAGGAGGGGCTGCTGCTGCTGCACCTGCTGCTGCGGCTGGGCCAGGTTACCACGCCGCTGCTCCACCCACTGCGGCCGGCAGACCAGGAGGAGGCTGACGAGTCCGGGTGTCGCCTCCACCAGCTGCAGTAGGGGAGTCACTGGATGCTGCACGAGACGCCTCTCCAGGCCCTGCGGTCCCGCCGCCACCGGTCGGCACGCCACCCCCACCCCTCCGCCGCCAACGCCGCCATCACCGCCGCTGCCTGCACCCTGACCACCCCTCCTGCCACCCCTACCTCGAGACTGCGACGTAGTCGTAACAACAGCTGCGGTCACGTCAGTAGTGGCAGTGGCTAGCGAGGCAGTAAAAGTGGGCAGCTGAGGGACAGTGGACCCGTGAAACAGTGGAGGGGGCATAGTACCAGAGGCGGAGGCTACGGAGCGGAGGTTGCTCTCGACATCCTTGAGCGCAGACTCAAGGACCTCGATAGTGAGCTCACTAGGGTGCTTCAGAAGAAGCGTGTCACGAAGCGAGGCAAGGCGGTCAGGGAGGCTAGTGGCAATGAAGTAGATAGTAATCGCCATAGGAGGGGGAAGCAGTGCAAGCTGTGCGTCAGTGCAAGCAGCGCGGTAGCTAGAATCGAGCGAGCGGAGGTGGGCAATCAAGTCAGCAGAGCGCTCAAACGAGGCGAGGTCAGGGAACAAGAACAGTAGGAAGAGGCGGCCAAGGGAGACAGTGGTGGGAGAAGCGTAGCGGGCCTTGACCGCAGTCAGGAACTTACTAGCAATGCGAACCTGAGTGAAGTGGGCCTCCTCAGACTCAGGGAGGAGGCTGCTAAGAGCGATGCAGGCCGCAGCGTCACGCGACTTCCACGCCGTCAGGTCAGCACGCTGGCGGGAAAAGCGGTCTCTGGCGGCGTCGTCAGGGGCAGGGCCTAAAGGCGTAGGGTCGCCGGGCGCAGGAAGGTCACCAGTAGCGTGCGCCCAGAGGGACTCGCCCGCCTGGACCTGACTCTCTAGAAAGCGACGTGCGCGTAGGAGCTGAAACTCGAGCAGTCTACCGTCAGCGTCAAAACGAAGAACCTTAGGGGTCGCCATAGCAAAAGCAAAGAGGTGGGAAGTGCTGCTGCTGAAATCCTAATCACTGAGAGCGACTTAGTAGGGCGCTACGGGACATAGGGTAGGGTGCTACGGGACACAGAGTAGGGCGCAACACTGCTGGACTAGGAGGGCGCAGCGCCACGGGCAGGGGTAGCGCGACGCGACGCAGCGGGACAGGACGGGCAACGCGACACGACGCGACGCGACGGGACGGGACGGACTACGCGACGCGGACGGGCAGCACGACGTGACGCGAAGGGATGGGACGGACAGGCAGCGCAACGCGGACGGACGGGACAGGACGGACAGGACGGGACGGGACGGATGGCGCGACGCAGACAGGCAGCGCAACGCGGACGGACGAGACGGGACTGAAGGCGCGACGCGGACGGGCAGCGTGACGCAGACGGACGGGACGGGACGGACGGTGCGACGCGGACGGACAGCGCAGCGGGCGCTAGGGCACAAGAGCGACGTAACGGCAGGCGCAGCGGGCGCTAGGGCACGAGAGTGACGTAACGGCAGGCGCACCGGGCGCGACGGCACGAGAGCGACGTAACGGCAGGCGCAGCGGGCGCGAGGGCACGAGAGCGACATATCGGCAGGCGCGATAGGTGCTAGGGGACAGTACGAGCGTAACGGGCACTAGGGTACGGGACAGGCTCGTGCGCTACGGACGTGAACGAGAGGAACGGGATCCCACAGGATCCTAACCTAGGTGATACCATGTCAAGAATGAAAGTGTTGGTTCATTGATGTGGGTTGGGGTACATATAACAAACCCTAACATTTGTACCCCCTAAGACAAACCTCACTACAGGCTACAACATTTGACAAAAATCTTCAACACCACGTAACGGTTGTGAACGCATCGAAATGCAACTCCACAGCGAAACAAACACAACGAAAAAGGACATGAACACACATGCAAAGAAGGACAGAGAGATACAGATACCGTAATAAACACACAACCGTCAATAATAAATTTAAAAAACGCATAAATGCTTGCTAACCTATCCCACCTTATCCTCCCTACAATCCTCCCTCCCTCCTTCCCTCATCTCCATCCCACTCCCTCATCTCCCTTCTCAGCTCACGCACGCGCCCTACACAAAGCAAAATCAGAGAAGTCAACATACATACGCCTAGGCAAAAACAAGGAAGTCAACACACACACGCCCTGCACAAAGTTAACAGGGAAGACAAAACACACACACCCTGCACAAGAAAGCAAGAACAAAGAAAGCAAAACATGCCTTGCACAAACATCAGTGCATGTTCATACACTGTGTACAAGAAAGCAAATATAGGATACCGCAACACACGTGCTCTTACAGAAGGCCAAGCAAGAAATACAAATCACCCTCCCTCTCATGCATTACACAAGGCGTCAACATATAGCAGAAAGGCGCCAGTGCACTGCAGTGCACGAGTGCGGTGCAAGGCGTCGATGAGCTCCAGAAAGACGCCAGCGCGCGGCAACGCACCCGTCTACCTTAAGCAGTAAGCGTCACTCATTTGCATAAGTAGCCCCAATTGTCCAAGCACCGGCAGAATAGATGCTAGAGCTTACGTCATAGCGTGCTCATGCGCTCTCTCACGCGCTCTCTCATGTGCTCTCTCATGCGCTCCCTCACGCACTCTCTCAGTCGCACTCTCACTCGCAATCTCACGCGCACTCTTGTTAGGATCTAGGATCGAGCTCAGAAAAGAGAATGTGAATTGAATGAATCACCTGGGTACAACACGAGGCTATATATAGGCTCGACACAAGGCCCCGTAACCAGGTGTTACGCGAAGGTTCCGCGGGCCGCGTAGCGTCCCGAACAGATCCTTACCGAATTCGGTAGAAGGCAATTCGGTGGCAACCGAAAGCCAGAATTCGGTGCACGTAACCTAGCTCGGTGCTATAACTATAATAAAATATAGGAAAGCACCTAGCCTAGGAAATCAAGCAATTCATGCATGCATATAATTATCCTATGCTAGAAATAGCATAATAAAGTAAAGGCAAGCAAGCATAGCTGGCATAAGCCGTCGTACTCTCACAACTCTCATGCGCACTCTCGCGCACTCTCTGGCACGCTCCCTCACTCGCTCTCTCGCGCTCTCTCATGAGCTCTATCACACGTGCTCTCACGCGCTCTATCAAGGCGCACTCTCAGGGGCACTCTCAGGCGCTCTGTCTCGCGCTCTTTTTCCTGCACGCTTACGCGCATTTTCTCTCTCACGTCCTGTCTCTCGCGCACTCTCACGCACATTCCCTCTCTCAAACGCTTTCTCCCGCACACCCTCACATGCTCCCTCACACGCTCTCTCACTCGCCCTCACACGCGCTTTCTCACGCGCTCTCTCACGCTCTCTCATCTGCTCTGTCATGCGCACTCTCACGCGCTCTCTCACGCTCTCTCACGCGCTCCCTCGTGCACTCTCAAGCACACTCTCACGCACTCTCTCTTTCGCTCTCTCTCGCGCACTCTCACCACATTCTCTCTCTCACGCGCTCTCTCTCACGGACTATCACACGCCTTCTCTCTCTTGCGCTCTCACGCGCACTCGCACGCGCCCTCTCACTCGCTCTCTCATGCGCTCTCTCACGCGCTCCCTCACGCGCTCTCTCACGCGCTCTCTCATGCGCACCCTCACGCGCACTTCCACGCACTCTCTCATATGCTCTCTCACGCGCTCTCACGCGCTCTCTCATGCGCTCCCTCATGCGCTCTCACGCGCCCTCTTGCGCTCTATCACGTGCTCTCTCACGCACTCTCTCACGCGCTCTCTCAAGGCGCACTCTCAGGCACACTCTCACGTACTCTCTCTCACGCTCTCTCTTGCGCACTCTCACCATATTGTCTCTCTCACGCGCTCTCTCGCGCACTACCACACGCATTTTCTCTCTCACGCTCTCACGTTCTCACGCGCACTCACACGCGCTCTCTCATGCGCTCTCTCACGCGCTCCCTCACGCGCTCTCATGTGCTCACTAAGCCAGGGCGCGCGCGTGCGGCAGGCAAGGCAGGCAGGCAGGCAAGGCCGTAGGTGAGGTAATGCGGTAACAGATGGGCCCAAATCGTAGGTCCTAAAGACCTATTGCTCTAGATACCATCTTAGAAACTAGGCAGGAATGTCTTTGACTATCGAGAGGTTTTGGTACAAGAAGGAAACCTAAGGGGTTGTACCCCACAGTATCTACCCCACTACAGCCTACCCAAAACTATAACATATGTATATGTTTGACACACCCCCATAGGCAATGTGGGGGAGAGCAAGAGGTCACAAGACTAGTCAAGGAAAGCAAAACAAGCTCAAGGTGGATCACAACGTCACCACACACACTGAGCACAACCAAACGGCCAAAAGGCCAGTTCACATGCAGAGTTAAATATGCAACAAGAACAGTACAGTGATCTCTACCTAGCAAGAGAAAGCATGCAGGTATATATATATATATATATATATATAGATCAGGGTACAAGCAGAGACTACAGCAAGTGTGGAAACGTAGGCACAAGGCCCAACAAAGTACAAAAGCGCTGATGGTCATCAGACGGAAGTGCCTTGGTGAATATATCAGCAGTGTTGGCCCGAGTGGCCACGTGAGCAAGGCGAAGCTGACCCCGCTGCTGCAACTCTCGAGCTAGGAAGTAACGCAGAGCAATGTGCTTCGTTCTGTGCTCCAGTCTATGCTCCTGACACAAGGCAATGGCGGCATTGTTGTCTACGTACAGAACTGGAGGAGAACGAGGCCGCTCTCCCAGATCGGTCAGCAGGTAAGGTGAGCCAGTGTAACTCTTGTGCAGCCATGGCTGTGGCGTAGATATCAGCCTCACAACTAGAGCTGAGAACAGAAGACGAGCGTGTAGACCGCCAAGAAACAGAGCCAGAGCCAAGGCTGAACGTGTAACCCTGTGACGACCGCTGTGTAGCCTGGTCGTCAACCCAAGAAGCGTCTGAGTGCCCAGTGAGGACAACTGGACCCCGCCCTCCAAGCACGAGCCCCATGCCCGATGTACTGCACAAGAAGCGCAGTACCCTCTTAGCAGCATCCATGTGCACCTTTTGGTGCCGACCAGGAGCCACGTAGCAAGCCAAAAGACCAAGAGGGTACGCAAGGTCAGGACGAGTGCACGTCATCAGGTACATGAGGCAACCCACTAGCTCTGGGTAAGGACCACTCGGCTCTACGGACTCGTCCGAAGGTGGAGCAAAAAGCGAGTGACCTGTACCCAAAGGAGTGGCCTCTGCCGAGGACCAGGTGAAGCCGAAGCGCTGAAGGACCTGCTGCACCATGTGTGACTGAGTCAGGGTGATGGTGCGGTGTGCTTTGTCCCGGGTGATCTACAAGCCAAGGTTACTGCGCAGCTCTTTCAGGTCAGTGCAGGTGTGTCTCCTCTGCAGCTCCGACTTCACCAGGGCGAGAGCCTCAGTGTCAGCAGTGGCAAAGACCAAGTCGTCGACGTACACGAGGATGTAGAACGATGGCAGCGAAGTGTCGGTGCGCAGAAACAGCGACGGGTCAGCAGTCGACGGAGTAAACCCAAGAGCCGCAAGTGTCGTCCTCAGTGTGTCGTGCCACTCACGTGGCGCCTGGCGGAGACCGTAGACCGATCGCCGGAGGCTCCACTGGGTACCAGAAGGGAACAACCCAGCAAAGCCAGGCGGGCGGCGCAGCCAGATCTCCTCGTGCAAGCTGCCCTGTAAGAAAGCTGTGCTGAAATCAAGAGAGTGAAGCTCGTAGTCACGCTGAGCGGCAACATGCAGCAGCACCCAAAGAGTGGTCATCTTCGGGGTGGGGGGGAAGTTCTGGAAGAAGTCAACTCCCTCTCGCTGACTGAAGCCTCAAGCAACGTAACGAGCCTTGAAGACAGGCGGAGAACCCGGCGGCCGCTTCACCCTGAAAATTCACATGCCGTCGACGATGTTCGCCCCGGGAGGGGGAACCTTATCGACGTACGTGCCTGTGGACTTCCAGGATGCCATCTCTACGTCCATGGCTGTCTGCCACTGAGAAGAGCACTCACCCGCGTTCGCCTCAGCGTAAGAGCGCGGGGTCGAGATGTCTGGTGCATCCGGGTCTCCCTCAGAGGCAAGCAGCATAGCCACGAGATGAGGCGCAGCGGCCGCAAGACACTCAAGGTCCTCGTGCCTGTCCTCAAGGACGTTCGTGCTAAGAGCACACTCACCCTCGACGGACGGAGGACAGACAGACTCAGACTCAGCAACAAGACTAGCATCGTAGTCTAGACGACAGGCAGCAGCAAATTCGACAAGCTCAGCGACTAGGGCAGACGCAGCAGTGGACTCAAACGACAGGTCAGTGACAACAGAGGCTAACAGACGCGTGACAGTAGGGTGCTCAGTACAAAACTGGTCACACTCAGGGTCCGCAACGTCAGGCAAAGAGGACGCAGGGGGAGACGGCAGAGGAACACGCGGCGGAGGAGAGGAAGGACGCCGGACTACAAGGTGGGTGCCAGGGACAGCCGGCTGATGCGAACGAGGAACACGATGACCGAAACGACCAGAACGGACGGGTGAGACAGGACGCGACGCAGGCTTACGACGCTCAGCAAGGCCCCATGTCTGCTCAGTGTATGGAGAAGGAGCAGGCAGCGGTGAGCCAGGCCGTAACGGAAGATCAGTAGACGAAGGGAGACTGAGAACCTAGCGAAGCGCAGAGTCAGGCGGTGGCTGAGACGATGGAGACAGCGGAGCGAAGAACAGGCGCAGCTGTGCAGTGCCACCAGCACTAGCAGCTCCAGCACCTCCAGCAGCTCCAGTACCCTCAGCAGCTCCAGCACCTCCAGGAGCTCCAGAACCCTCAGCGCCAACTCCTCCAGGACCAGCTCCACCAGCTGCAACACCCCCAAAACCGGCACCTCCAGTGCGAGGGTCTCCAGCCTCAGTGCCTCTAGCAGCAGCACCCCCAGACCCAGGGTCTCCAGCAGTAGCACCCTCAGACACAGCACCTCCAGCCCCAGCAGCTCCAGTTCCTCTAGTACGAGCACCTCCGGGACCAGCGACTCCAGCACCTCCAGTTGACAAAGGACCAGCACCACTCCCAGCTCCAGTGACGTCAGCAGAAGTACGTCCAGCAGCAGATCCCCGAGCTCCAGAAGCGCGACCCTGACGGCGACCGTACCAGTCGTGCAACTGCTGTGAGGTGAGAGGCACACGCGGACGAAGGCGGCTACTCCAAGGAGACCGCGTAACAGCAGTCTCTGAACCCTCAGGCGTTGCACCCCCAGACTCAGCACCCCCAGGCTCCTCAGACGCAGGCTTAGCACCCCCAGACGCAACACCTCCAGGCTCAGGACCTCCAGGCTCCTCACGCACAGGCTCAGCACCTCTAGGCTCCGCACCCTCAGACTCCTCACGCTCAGGCTCAGTGCCCCTAGACTCCGCACCCCCAGTCTCAGCACCTCCTAGGTCCTCACGCTCAGGCTCCGCACCCCCAGTCTCAGCACCCCCATGCTCCGCACCCCCAAGCTCTGCACCCCCAAATTTCGTACCCCCAGGGACAGCACCACCACCAGTCGGACCTGAGTCACCAGTGACCTCAACAGGCGCAAGTACGGGAGGGTCTACCTGAGAGACACCTGAAGGAGCAGGACCTGGCGCAGGGAGGGGGTCTACCTGGGGAGCACCTTGGGCGAGAAAGAGCGGCGGGGGGGGGGGGGGCGTGTGGCAGATCGCCACACGCTATCCTTTAGGAGTAAAGGTGTCAACCCAGTGATCCTGAAGGACGGCGTTGCTCACAAAGTTTGTAGAGAACGAGGGGAGGTGGAGACCAGACAGCTCACTGTCGAAACAGCAGGCGAAAACGAGAAACAGAATAGAGGTGTTTTTACTAGCAGCAGTAGAGATACATATAGGAAACCCTAATTGGGTTGTACTCGCTATAGAGTAACCCACTGCAGGCTAGAGAAACATCACATTATGACACACCCCCATAGTCAAAGTGGGGTATAATCAGCACAACAAGCACGCAGAGCAGTAATTCACAAGTATAAGCAAAGTTAGAGGCAGTCACAGGGGGCAAGTGAGGAGGAGAAAAAACTGTGAGGGCGAGAAGATGGGAGGCGACGGCTGAAGCTGCAGACACACAAGCAGCAGGAGTGCGTAGCACTGTCGCTACCAGGCAAAACTCGGACTACACGGCGACAGACGCAGTTGGCTCACTGTGCTCCCAGGAGTGCACACACTGTGGCTACCAGGCACAGAGCCCCGGACTACTCAGGCCACAGAGGGTCGTGGCTCTCTGGACTACCAGGAGTGCTCACACTGTGGCTACCGGGCGCAGAGCCCCGGACTACTCAGGCTACAGGGGGTCGTGGCTCTCTGGACTTCAGGTGCTGCGGACAACAAGTTGGCTACCTCCGCTCAACCTCCCCCAACTGTCCCACACCCGTTTCACACACTCCCTGCCGCACCTCTAGCACTGCTCACACGCCACCCCCCTCGTACCACTCCGACGACTCCAACACATCCACCCCCCTCAGCGGCAGCTGCAGCAGTGGGAGACGGAGGAGGAGGAGGAGCACGGGATGGCTCACACACCCGGCACCCCCATACTCTCCACCCCCAAACCCTAACACAGAAGCGCGGGCAGCAGCGGGGGTGGGGCGCGGTCAGAAGCAAGGGACGAACCGCGCGCGGGCTGTCTGGGCCGCACGCGGGCCTGGCGCAGCCCGTACGGGCCGCACGCGGGCCTGACACAGGTCGCGCGGGCCGCGTCGGGCGACGGGGGGCGACGCGCGGGTCACCAGGGCAGGAAACCCCCGCGCGCTCCCGGGGTGCGCGGCGGGCAGGGCAGAAAACCGCCGCGCGCTCGGGGCGCACGGCAGGAAGAAAAACGGCGCGCGCCCGGGGCGCGCTACAGGCAGTAGAGCAGCGGAAGCATCAGGTGGGGCCCACCCACAGGATCCACCCAGGAGGGTCAAACTGCTCTGATAGCATGTCAAAACAACAAGCGAAAACGAGAAAC